TCTCAGAGTTGTTTAAAAACTCTTTACAAAGGTGTTATTCAGTGAATGCAAATAACACGTGAATGATGATGAGCTACACTTATTTTATTTGCAGCTCTTTAGAAGTGAATAGTAATGAGTCCACGGTAGCTCCTAAAGCCTAAAATTATTTTCATTATACTCTAGTAGCCTCGCAGTGTCAGTGAGCAGAAGTTGGGCAAATATGGTCTAAGAGCAAATTTAATTCCGGGAAATAAAACTGGCTGTATCAGTGGCTCAGTCAGTGACATTTCCAACTTAATCTGCACCACTTAGCTGTTTTGCCTCATTTACATGTAAAAACCCAGAAAATGCTTTTGCTAATCAGAAGATAAATGAGTGGAGATGTCTTTACCGTGGATTCAAAGTAACATAATTGAGTTTTTTTTTCTTACAAACTCCCAGAAAAGAGCAATTAAATATCAGAAACACTATACGTTTTTTGGGAGATATTATTAAATTGTTATGAATATTCTACAGAATATTAGTTTCAAGCCTTTCATCTCTTTCATGTAGAACACCAAAACCAACTCTTTTTTACAAATATTTACTATGATTCAGCTTCTCATGCTTCAGTGAAGAGTCAAACAAAGGGCTGAATTCTTTGGCAGACAGCATTAGCTGGCTTGCAAATAAATAGAATTAAATTTAAAAGATGGATTGGGGTTAAGCTAAGTCCTCGACATCCAGTTGTGTTGGTCCAATAATTAAATTTAGACAGAAAATGTGTATATGTGTTTTAAGGATGAAACATTTCCCCCAAATCCTGGGCACGCCTAAACAAAGTTTGATTCTGTTTGTGTTTGATGGTAACAGTGAGACAGAGCGAGGAGTGACGGTTTTATTGTTGACCTCTGGCTGTTTGTGCTGTCAGCATGGTGACAGTGAGCCATCACACACTGACCCCGATGAGTCTCGCTCCCTTGGTCCTCTCTCTCACTTCTGCCTTCCAGTTACACTAATCGCTTAAACGCGCAGTCCATTTGTTGTCATGGCAACTGTTTTATTGCCATTTTATTGGAAAAGGTGGCCTTAAGCTGTGTATTAGCTAGCAACATAACTATAACAAAATGCTTTCTTTGGACTTTTTAGGCATCTAATATTTTTAGCATATCTTTCTCCCCCTGTGGTGGCAGGGACGACTTGTCCACAGAGACATCTTTCTTGCCTAATTCACTTGTCGTCATCTTTTCTACTTGCTGATTTCTCTGTTATTGCTCAGTCATACTTATTAACCTCTCCCTCAACTTGTCATGTGCTTCCACTTTTCTCTCTTGTCACTGGTTCCATGCACTGTCCAAAACCTTTTTCCATTTTCCTGATTATTTATGTCCCTATTTTCTGATACGTTGTCATCATCTTCCAGTCTCCCATTTCTCCTCTTCGTTTTTCTTCCTTAACCTTATTTCTGTGTATGTATCTCATACTGTATTCTCATCATCATGATCCTACACATTTTCTCTGTCACTTCATCAGATTCTCCTTGGGTCCTACCTCTTTTCCTAATCTTCCATCCCACATATCATCTTGTGTCCTCCCTCAGTTTTTCCTCCATCCAAAAATGTGTTTTTCTTTCTCTAAAGTCTCTAAAAACTGTGATACTGTCATCCTTTCAGCATCGTCTTCTGTAACATTGCTTCCAAATAAATGTTCGTTATGTGCACCATGTCCAACTGGGGCTTTTGTCACAAGCTTTGTACATTATTGAAAGCAAGCAGATCACTAATTCATGTCAGTTGAGCCTTGCGGGTTTTGGGTGGAGGTGGGTGAGAGCTTGTGGCTTTTTTGAAGGCCTTTCATGTAGTGTGAAACGTGCCTTACCCATCACATCCTACACTTCTGATCCATCCCTCTCTTGTCTTTTCTGCTGTTTCCTTTCACATTCTCTCATTTCGTCTCACCCTGGCCTTATTAATGACCTCTTGTTCCTTCTTCTTTTCCTTCCCTGTTTCCTTAGCCCTGTCAGTCTTCTGTAATGTACAGTGGCTTCACCAAGTGTTCAGATCCCTTTGCATTTGCACACTTTGTGTTGTACTGTACATTTCACACTGCATGTCAGGACAAACCCCAACCTATAAAGTCCTAGGAAGTCTTTGTAGACCTCTGCAATACAATTGCAATGAGGCATAAACTACAGCAAGGGTATAGATCCATTTCTAAAACTTAGAATGTGTTGAGCATAATTGCCCCCAGTAATTGTGAAGTGGAACAAGTCTGGAACCACCACGGCTCTTGCTAAAATTGGTTATCCAGCCAAACTTTGTAACTGGACAAGAAGGCCCTTGTCAGGGAGGTGACCTAGAGCCCAGCAGTCACTCTAACAGACCTTCAAAAGTCCTCTGCAGAGAGGGAAAGACCTGTCAGTAGCACTCCATCAGTCAGGACTTTATGGTAGAGTGGCTAGATGGAAGCCACTCTGGGTAAAAGGCTTATGACATCCTGCTTGGAGTTTGTCAGTTGGTATTTAAAGGAGGAAAAAAATTTTTTGGTACACTGTTTGGGCAGAACTCCAAGCACTGCTTCTGGTGAACACCAGGCACTGTTCTGCATCTGGCTAATACCTTTCCTGAGGTGAAGCATGTTATGGGGGTGTGCTCCTCAGCAGCAGTGAAAGGGAAACTGGTCTGAACCGAGGCTGAGATGAATGTAGCCACATACAGAGAGGTCTTTGAAGAAAACCTGCACATGACTTGTGAGTGGGACGGCAGTTCACCTTTCAGCCCGCCAATGAGCCGAAGCATGAAGCCAAGGCAACGCTGGAGTGGCTTCAGGACAAAGTCTCTGACTGTCCTTGAGTGGCCCAAAAAAACCCAAATAGAACATTTGTGGAGAGACCTGAAGATGGCAGTTCAGTCTGACAGACCTAGAGAGAGAGAACGGAACAAACCGTACCAATTGGGCTTCTAGAAAGTAATGCATTAAGGGTTTAAATACTTTTTGTAAATGTTTTGGTTTTTGATTTTTAGTGCATTTGCCAAAACAGCAGTGTTCAAAAAGTGAATGGGGTCTGAATAGCTTTTGAAGCCACTGTACCTCCTCTGCTATTGTATAGAGATTTCTCCTCAGTCTGCTTCTTGCTTTACGTGCTTTCGTCTCTCCTCACACCCTCCCTCATTCATTGATGTCTGATCTAATTGCTTTAACTCTGACCCTGGAGACCCAGCCACAGTGTAACAAGCTCCCGGTGGGTGCTCTCTGCCTCGGTCTTTGTTGCTGCATCCCTGAATCGCTGCTTTCTTTTTATCTCTTTCCTTACTGACTTTTCCTTCTGCATTTATTCATTAGCAGCTCTAATGCTGTAACCCCCAGACACACAGTTTGGTATTGTGATCCTCCCGGCTTAACCGAGTCTGCTCTAAGGCTGGCCATAGCACAAGGTTGGATTAGGAATGACCAAGTGCAACAGGTCCTTTTCTGTTTTTATGAGTCAAGTTTTTCTTATCCACATTTCAGAGTAGGCCAAAGAGAGAGAGAGAGAGAGAGAGAGAGAGAGAGAGAGAGAGACTGGTGGGTAGATAAAGGAAGAAGGGTGGGAGGAAATAAGAAGCAGTGAGAAAGAGAAATAAACATGGAGAGGCAGGACAGGAGAAGGAAAAAGGCAGGGAAAGGACAACCTGAAAGCACAGAGAGACTCACAGGCCCACTGCAACAGAAATTTAATAGAAAAGGTGAAATATGAAGATGCAGCCCAGTGAACTAAAGCAGATAGGGCAGTGCTTTAACAGCTTTGGCTTCACACAGAAATAAAGATTGTAAAAATATGACACACATTTGAACTTTTCTCTCTCTAGCTTCTTTTCCTCCTTGATTCCACAGTGTGATATGTCACACATCAGCTAACATCTACAAATTGAGTCATCTTTAATGAAACCCGGGACAAAAACACTGTCTTAGAAATCATGTGCTTTCCCATACTGACTTTGCAGTTTATCTGCATTGTTTTCTGCACTCGTGTTTGCTAGATAGTGGGGATGTGGCATAACAAACATGAAAGAAAAGAAATCTCAGAGTCTCTCAACAAGTGCTCACGCAGCATGCTTGGCCTATGGTGAGATAAGCCTGCAGAGAGTGAGTGGATATGAGCAATGCATTTCAGAATAACCTCAGTTGTCAGTCATAGTGCACATACTGTGAGCACAGTGCACATTCTTCGAGAGCACCTGAGCAAATATCTCACTATTGTTTCCTGTTTCACTTTGACATGAAGCTCAATGACAGCAGACAGCTCAGCATCACTTTCTTCCCACCTCTGCTTTTACATTAACATGAGAACCATTCAGTACCGCATGTGTGTGTAAGAGAGAGAGTTTTCTTTTTTGTTTCATAAATATGCATGACAGAACACCAACGTAAAGATCAAAACATTTTCTCCTGAAGGTTAATAGGTCAAATGCATTGATCACAATCCAGTTGTTTCACACACTCCTCTCATTAGAGGCATTTATAGAGAATCATTTGATACAGATACTCTGATCTTCCCCTTGGCCCTCCCTTGTGTTACAATCTCTCTCTCACACACACACACACACACACCCACACCCACACACACTCTCTCTCTGTAGGTCCTTTGGGCTCTGGTGCTGGGTTGAATGCAGATATCTCTCTTTGAAGTGAGCAAGCTCACATGCAGGTGTGTGTCAGTGCATGCACTCACATGCACAAACACACATGCATATATACTCATGCTGCATTAGTGCCTGCTTCTTTAATCAGATCAAGTGTTTAATTATTAATGTGTGTGTTAAAAGAAGCAGAGGCAGAATATGTGAACAGTTATGACCCTGCAGCTGTACTGTTCAACCTTTACTCTGACAATCTTGTGTGTGGCTATAAGAGAGCTAGTTTAGGAGAAAGAGAGCTGCTGGATGTGTGCATGCATTTGTAGGTCAAACTTGTCTTCAAGTTAAGCACAGTATATATTGTATGACAGATGCCTCGGGTGACACTTTAAATATTTGTTCTTTCACCTGGTTTCTCTGTAGGTGTGTGGAAATCATCGCCAAGGAGGGGAGAAGTCTGAAGGAGCTCTATCTTGTGTCTTGTAAAATCACTGACCACGGTAGGATACATTCAATCACTGTCCCTTTGTTACAGTCAGCCTCCAACATTATTATCATATAACCATTATTACCTACCCATTTGATTTTACAATTCCTCATTATGAGACTTGCCAACAGTAAAATATTATTGAAAAGTTCCCCATACTGTAGAATAGAAGTATTGTCAGCTGGATCTCTTCTGTGTCATTTGCAGATGTTCATACTGTAATATTAACTTAGAAAGAGGATTTCTGTGCTGCAGCTTGTGTTTGTGAATGAAAGGCATTTGTATTGTGTGACAGGAGACATACAAGGTGTTTTTCTTCCCAGCATACAGCGAGGCAGCCTTTATATCCCTCTAGCATCACCTTCCCTTTTTATTTTGTTTACACTGTCTCACTCCTCTGTTTGATTCCATATATTTTCCAGAATAGTTCAGTATTTTATCAGCTATAGTACAATACGCAGTCTGAAGCATCAGGCTTGCATGAATGATTTGATTTCAGCCTGTTTGTATGTTTAGCTGTTGCAGTGCTACTATGTGTGTGTGTGTGTGTGTGTGTGTGTGTACCCTGGGAGTTCCACAAGTAATAGTTACCAGCCGTATAACCAAATAGGTTTTTTGGTGTGCCTACATTCAAGTGGTACTCAGTACAAAACAGTCTAAATTGCAGTTTTGTCACTTATTTTAGTTCCAATCAACAAAACAAAATACAAACAATCCACTTTATAACTGGGATAAAATGTGTTTGCTTGAGTTTGGTCAAGGGAAGTTAAATTAAACTTTGGAGATAGATCCTATGTACTTACAGTTGCTAGGCTTTGTGCCTTTTTCAGTTGATTTTATATCAGCTCACCACTGATTCAATAAATCACCTTTTCAAAAATGCACAAAGTGAGTAATGAGATAAACTTTCGAGTCTTTTGCTTCTTGTAACTTGCTGTTGTCCGAATTAGTAGCCTATTGAAAAGTGCACAAAGGGACTACTGCGATAACAGACAAGAAGCATTCTGCTTGTTAGTCCAGTGTTGTTTGCTTGAGAGCTTTAAAAGGGGTCTGGAGCTATTCTTTCAGGGCTGTAAAGCTTCTTGAGACATTGTATCCTATTTGGATGTACAGATAAACATGACTTATAATGCGGTGTTATACCCTTTGTATAGAAAAGTCTTTTTTTCATGCTATTCATGTGTGTGGTGGAAGTAAAACAGCTTGGCCAGTGGAAGTCTGGGACGTGCACGCCTCTCTAGCATTCATGCTCTATGGGCACCAAAACGAGTACTCTAAGCCCATAAAAGTCATATCTGCTCACTGAGCAACATTCCTTGAATAGGGTAGCATCATGAGGTGTCCATTTTTCCTTCTACTGCACATGAAGCTGGCCCGTTCAGACCATTTTAGGTTGTGTCATTATATCTGCCTGAATCGTATGCTTTAATCTATCTGTGCACTTACAGAGACACCGCAGTCACCAGCCTACAGCTCCAGCTGTTGGCTGCTTTTCTGATTTAGCTGACTACTGTAAACTTTGTGTAGACTCTAAACTGCCCTTCCAGTCTGTGTGCTACCACCATTTCACCTAATCTGTAGTGGTTTTACTAAGTAGTGACAAAAGATATGGAAAAGGTCTAATGTCAGGCACTAATTGACCAAGGTTTCCCCAAGGAAGTGGTGATTATATTGTTGTCACAAAGTGGTGACTTGAATGGTCGCCCTCCATCACGAGCTGCAGTTCTCTGCCAACTTCAGTCCAATCATCACCTTGACCTCACTGAACCTGAACTGGAACTGTGTGTGTCAAACGTTATGCGGTTCTGTGTCTATTGGTGTTTGATTAATGATTCTAAGATCACAATAGTATATTAAACCTGGAATGCTCACAGCCACCCCCTTGTAGATCCCCCTCTCTTTCTCTGTCTTTCTAATCATTTTGACCAAGATGAATTGGTGATATCTGATCTTCTTCCTTTACTAATGACCCCTCTGACCCTCTCTGGCTGATGATGGGCTCTGTGTGTGTTTATATGTGTGTGTATGTGCATGTCCTTCCAGGATAGAGATGCCTGTTGTAGGAGCTCTGTGCTCTAACAAAATGATTGCTGGATTTCCTGCTTCAGCCTCTGATAAATTAAATAACAGAAATGAGATTTTACATCTGCCAAGCTGGCCCCCGTTTTTTCCGCCCATCTTCTCTGCTAATTATTTTTATTAATGGCCTTTCTGAGTGCATTTGAGATGTCCACAAGCCTCTTACATTTGAGTGTTCTGTTTTTTCCACCCAGTGTTCACTTCCTGTGTGATTTTATAGAAGCTTTGAGGACAGACAGAGAGAGACATAAAGACAGGTTTAGATGACAGAAAGAGTGAGCTAGGCAACATGTAATTTTACTCCCAGTCCAGATGGTTTTAGAGATTATTTTTGTGAGGAAGAGGAAACAAATGGAAAAAGTGAGGATAGAGCTTTTTTGGTGTAATGATCTTACTGAAAGCCCTATTAGTGCTGGGGGAAGAAACTTCCTTGACTACTCTCTCATTCATCAAAGAACATGAAAACTAATTAGTTTAAATAACATTTTGATTGTAATTAAGGCAATGTAGAGACGTGTTAAACACCTGGATTCTTAGATTAATATATTTCATAAGAATTTGCTTTTCAGTATAGAGTACGTTGGTTTTTCACACCTGTTACTAATGATTGATGATAAATAACAGTCACACCAATGACAGATTTTGTTAAACCATCCAGATTTGTGTTTATACACACACACACAGTTCACGAACACACATTCATAGATGTCATGTACGCCCCTGTATCATGTACATGCACCATGTGCCCATAAATCAGGATTAACTTAAGAAGCTAACGCTTTAAGGGACAGTGCATTTCTACAACAAAAAGCAAAAAATAAGTGAATTAAAACTGGTGAGCAAACAATAATAAAAAAAACATACATCAGAGACTTAAACATTAGTTTGTCTTAAGGTGTGTCTTATTTAATTGAAAGTAAACATCCATACATCCATCCATTATCTATACTGATTATCCTAATGAGGGTCGACGGGGGGCTGAACTGAATACCAGTTGATATTGGGCAAGACGTGGGGTCCACCCTGGACAGGTCGCCAGTCTATCACAGGGCTGATGCTAAGAGACAGACAACCGCACACACACACTCACTCCTACAGGCAATTTAGAGCCACCAATCAACAAAAGGTGCATGTCTTTGGACTGTGGGAGGAAGCCAGAGTACCCGGAAAGAACCCACGCAGACACAGGGAGAACATTAGTTATTTCTATAACCA